TTTTGGCAAAATTAAAATTGTTTTTTTTCTAACAGTATCTATCGTGTGCAAGTCTAAGTGAAATTTTGGTAAAACCATTTGTTTTTGTTTGCATAGTTCCATATCACACCCAACCTTTATGTTACTATTCCCTAGCCAAGGCAAGATAAAGAACACCAAAGACTGCTTGACTTTTCCACATTATTTCAGGATTTATGCTGTAACAAATCCACAACACACATGAATAGCAATCAGGAAAGTCAGAGGTTAACTTTTTCTGGATAAAAGCCAAGTGACCTCTGGGATAATCAGGATTTCTGATTGTTGCTCTCTTCAATTTAAAACCCACTCTTTTGGAACTATTCAGCATATAAAGTGGCATCAGTATTTAAAGTTGGGTAGCTTGTGCACTATTTACAGATTGGCACAAAACTGCAAAAACGTACTACAATATAACTCCCTCTGAAGAAATGTGATATTAAATGTAATATTAAAGGATTATTTTCACAGGAACATCAATAAACTCTAAACAAATAGCACAAATAACACATCGTGAAATGTGTTATTTAAAATATTTTTGCAAATGTCTGTTTAGTTTTTGCAAATGCAAACTGCCTAAGCAATGCATTCAATTTGTATTTAACCACGTAATCATCACTAAGAGATAGCTAGTAAATTTTATTGACCTAATATATCAACATATGATTTGTGTTGTAATCTTAAAGTGTATCTATAGTCAAAACATTTTTTAAAAATGTGGGTAGACAGGGGAGAGCTTAATTTTTTTATTAATATTACAGTTTTTGTTTTTGATAAACAGAAAGCAAGGGGAATATGGGACTTTGGGGTACCTAATAACAAAACTGAAAAACATGAAATGCTAAAAGTGTACAAATTTTAGTGATGACATCATGTTTAAAAAGCACAAAAAAGCTCTATGGCTTGTCACACCAAGTGAATATGATAAAAACATGTAACATTAATGCACTGTAAAGTGTAGACTCCAACACATTGTAAGAGCATCAGAAGTTTAAAAGAAGAACCCCAATGCATTTCGACTTGCAGTAAGTGTATGTCTTCTTCAGGGAATAAATCTTTGTGATGGGGTACCCACATCCTGCTCCCCCCATGTTAATGAGTAAGGAGTACATAGCACCCCTATTCATTCACATTTAAGAAGTAAACCGTAAGCAAAAAACTGTTTTTGACAAGTCCTTTATTTAGAGGTAGCCAGGTACTGGCTATATCATTATGCCATTCAGGGACGTTTACAGATGAGACTATGGGCAATCCTTATTTCCCCTAGTGCCCAGTACTGGGACTGCTATATCACTACCTGTTAGCAGAATGGATTCAGTTTTTTCTGACAGCAGAGGATCTTGGGGCCTGTAGTCTTATAGCCAATACATCCTGTATTCCAGAGTGCTGATTGAACTACAACTACCAGAGAGCTGGGGAACGAGAAGGATGCTGGGAAAGCAGATATATTCTACAGCAAGGGACTGGATTGCTCTCTTGGTGTGGGGTTCGGAGCAGAACACATGGGGACTGCAGTTCTCCTCCAGAGACAGATTGCCAGCCTACTGCTTCGGGACTCTGCACATCATTTCAGCACAGTGGTGATGCCGACTGCTAAACTGAGAATGTTCAGCTTCTCTGCATCAGGACTGTTACTGTCTGGTCTTCACACACAAACACGTCTGCTCTCCATACTGACAGGCCGTCAGGCAATAAATTTGCATAGCCCTGCAAACAGCCAAGAGCCTGGGCAAGAACTCTGTTCCTAGGAGGCCATGCTGCCTATAGGATTGGTGATCAGGTGGATGCCCAACCTCTTTATGTCAGGACTCTACAAATATTGCCTGCAGACACCTTTACACCTCAGTTACCAGGAGACCTTTGCTTTGACCAGTGTCATGGCTTATCTGTTCATTTAATTACCAGTATTCACTAATGTATATGGGCCCCACCATTGCTAGCAGAAGACAGCTGATACCACTACATCAGGTACTTTCACAGGACTCAAGTTGCAATTTCTAGTTAAAGGGACCTTTTCTCTTCTAAGGCCATTATTTAACTTAGGGTACTTATAGTATTTATTCATACCAGAGCATGCATTTACATAATTCTCTGCATGCCCCATTGTGGTGGCGGTGGCACAGAGGGAGCTAAGTCAACCAGCCTTTTCTTCCGCCTCTTGCTGCTGGTGTTGCAATTAAATAGTTGAAGCTTACTATTTATGACTGTATAACCTGTTAAGGGTTGCTAATTGATTATTCCTATTGTACCAGTGTTTTGCTTTTATGCGTTAACTGGGGTTGTATTACTCCTGTGGTCTGCTCTTTTGAACAAGTCTAACATAGAGGTGTTGCTAAAGAATTGTGTCTCTTGCATTATTATTCTGTACTGTTGAAGTATGTCTGAACCCAGAGTGTCAGGGGTATCAGGAAGCTTCCACGGTCAGGGCAACCACTGGGGACAAGCATTATCAAGCGGCCCCTGCAGGTGTAACACTACATAAAAAATAAAAAACAAAAAATACAACAAGGTGTAAATCTGTCAATCATGTCATACAGCAATGTAGATCCTCAACCATGATAAATTTTATTATTTTATTTATTTCAGGTACTTATATAGTGCAGTCAATTTATGCAGCGCTTTACATATATATTGTACATTCACATCAGTCCCTAACCCTCAAGTGGCGTACAATCTAAGGTCCCAAACTCACATTCATACACATACTAGGGCCAATTTAGACAGGAGCCAATTAACCTACTAGCATGTCTTTGGAGTGTGGGAGGAAACCAGAGTACCCAGAGGAAAACCACGCAGTTACGGGGAGAACATGCAAACTCCAGGCAGGTGATGCCGTAGTTAGGATTTGAACCAGTGATCCTAGTACTGCTAGGTGGAAGTGCTAACCATTCAGCCATGAAATGACACCCAAAAGAAAAAAAAAACAGACAACCCTAACCCAACTACAACCACTCATTGAATTACCGCTCCCAGAGCTGTCATTTCCAGGGAAAGGACAAGGGTGGGGATAGTGGTGCCTTGGCCATATTTAGTCAATGTCATCCCCTTTATCCCCGCCTGTTTGCTGATATGACCAGGGATTCCCCATCATGTAAGCAAATGGGCCATTTGATGTCAGTTGTTTCCTTTGCTTCCTGAACTGTAAACTCAACACAGTTTACAAGGTTAGCTACATAACGTCCTATACAGATGCCACCAGAACAAGTGTGTCCATTGGAAGATTTCCCTTCACATCTTTCAACTCAAAATTTTGAATCTTACCTCAATTGTAGTGCCAGTAACAGTTGTGATAAGCAAAAATGGAGAGTAAATCTCCCGAAAACATAAACATAAACATCACAGGGGTTCTAATCCTATAGAACGCTATTCAAAACTGAAATTAAATAGAGTTTGACTTTTGGACAATGAACTTTGAGTGATTTTAAAAGGGGCATTTTGACGCATTTCCCTGCAATTTTGGCAACAGTTGCAGCACAATTGCCCCACATGTGAGATGCCATTATGAATTATGGCGTTCAAATGAAGCTTGTGTGTTTTACCTCAATTTAATTGCAATTTGAAATTGAGGACAGAATTGCAGCGATATCCTCTTCTCAACTACTATGGTCATGTTTTTTCCTGAAAATGTAGGCCCCTATACATATACTTTTCTTCATTGTGGATGTACTATTAATATTTCCTTCCACCTCTTTTTGCCTTGCCTGCCACTGCCACCATTACCAGCCCCTGTGACCTGTCCTCCCACTGTTACTAGCTCCTGCTGCCTTTTTCGGCCCCCCACCATTACCAGCTCCTGCCACCTCTCCTGGCCTGCTACAATTACCAGCTCCTGTCACCTCCTCCGGCCTGCCACAAATACCAGCTACTGCCACCTCTGCTAGCTCTTGCCATCTTTACTCAACTTCATTATTAGCTTCTGTCATTGTCAGGAATGGACTCACCACTGGTGGTGGGACTTACCTGCTGTGTGGGCTGCAGTACCAGGGCTAGCCAGCGGGTGCTCTCAGCAGCCAGAAGCTCACTCCTGCAATCAAGTCATCACCTGAGGCTGATTGCAGGAGGTGTATTTAAGGAGTAGCCAGGCCTGCAGTCAGGGCCTTGGTGTATAGTTTCCCTTGCCCCTGTATCCTGAACCTGCCTGCTTGAATCCTGACTCTGCACGAACTCTGCCTGTACCAACCTCGGCTATTCCTGACTACTCTTCCACCTTCTCCTTGTACCTTGCCTGCCCTTTTGCTACCGACCCGGCCTGCCCGACTACGTTTAGTATTGTTCTTATTGTTATCTGTTGGAGGTTTGGTTTATTTGCACTGTGTTTATGTTTAGTCTTGCACTGCGTTTATGTATTGTTTAGTCTTTAACCACTTGCCTACCAGGCACTTATACCCCCTTATTTACTAGGCCAATTTTCAGCTTTCAGCGCTGCCTCACTTTGATTGACAATTGCGCGGTCATGCAACATTGTACCCATATGAAATTTTGCTAATTTTTTTTTCTCACAAATAGAGCTTTCTTTTGGTGGTATTTAATCGCCACTGGGCGCTTTACTTTTTGCGCTATAAATAAAAAAAGTGCAAAAAATTCGAAAAAAAAAAAAAGTTTCTTTGTTTCTATTATAAAATTTTTCAAACAGGTATTTTTTCTCCTTCACTGATGTGCGTTGATGAGGCAGCACTGATGGGCACTGATAGGCGGCACTGATGGGCACTGATAGGCAGCACTAAAGGGCACTGATAGGCAGTACTAATGAGGTGGCACGGATAGGCGGCACTGATAGACAGCACTAATGAGGTGTCACGGATAGGCGGCACTAATATGCAGCACTGATAGGCGGCACTGATAGGTGACACTGATGATGGGTACTGATAGACGGCACTGACTGGCATCACTGCTGGGCACTGACTGGCGGCACTGACTGGCACAACCCCTGGGCACTGACTGGCGACACTGACTGGCAGCACTGCTGGGTTGCACTGGTGGGTGGCACTGGTGGGCAGCACTGGTGGGTGGGCACAGGTGGGTGACACTGGTGGGCACAGGTGGGTGGGCACAGGTAGGTGGAACTGCTGGGCACAGGTAGGTGGCACTGCAGAGTGGCACAGGTGGGTGCACTGCTGAGCAAAGGTGGGTGATCTGCTGGGCACAGGTGGGCGGAGCTAGTGGGCGTACTGCTGGGCACAGGTGGGCGGAACTTGCGGGTGGCACTGCTGGGCACCGATCATCATGGCACTGATCATCAGTGCCCTGATGATCGGTGCCGATCCCCACTCTGACAACTGCCAGTTCTCTGCAGTACTTTCCTCACGATCTGACAGCGTGAGGAAAGTGCAGCCGAGAACCGGCACTTGCATTTCCCTGTGATCAGCGTGTCATTGGACACCGCTGATCACGTGGTAAAAGGCCGCTGTGATTGGCCTTTTACCACATCACGTGATCAGCTGTGTCCGTAGGACACAGCGATCACGGAGATCGCCGGGTGCGCGCCCCCTGGGGCGCGCAGGAGAGCGCGTTCTGGGAGGACGTCATATGACGTCCACCCAGAACTGGCCGGCCGCAGTGCAGCCGTCATTCGGCTATCTGCGGTCGGCTACTAGTTAATAAATTGTATTGTTTATACTATACCTGAAGCCTGCATTTCCCTGTGTCAGTCCACACATCTCTGGTCATACCTGGAGCCCTGACAGTCATGTATCCTGGTAGTCACTATCATCATTATTAACTCCTGCCACCTCTGCTGGCCTGCCACCATAACCAGCTTTTTCCACCTCTTCTGCCAACCACTGACACCATTACCAGCTCCTGCCACATCTTCTGACCTGCCAAGCTTCTTAGCTCCTAAAGTCTCTTTTAGCCTATGATTTCCACCATTACCAGCTCTTTACACCTCTCCTGGCCTGCTACCATTATGATCTCTTGCCACCTCTGTTGGCCCAACATAATTAACAGCTACTGCCACCCCTGCTGAAATATCACTATTACCAGCTCCTGCCATCTATGTTGGCCTGCCACCATTACCAGTTATTGCATCCTCTGTAGACCTACCACTATTACCATCTCCTGCCATCTCTCTTGGCCTGACACTAATACCAGCTCCTGCCATCTCTGCAGCCTTCCTTCATTACCAGCAGCTGTGACCTCTGCTGACCTGCTGCTGTCATCAGTACCTATTCCTTCCTCTCTCCATTGTTAGCTCCTGCCATCTCTGTTAGTCTGCCTCAGTTACCAGCTTCTGACACCTCTGCTGGCCGGCCACCTTTACCAGTTCTTGCCACTTCTAAAGGACTCACCACCATCGTCAGCTCCTGCCATGTATCTTACAGCCACTGCCACTATTACCAGCTATTGTCACCATTGCAATTTGCTTCCCTCTCTGTTGGCCTGCCATCATTACCAGCTACTGCCAACCCTGCTAATATGTCACTAATACTGCCAACCCTGCTAGTATGTCACTACTACCAGCTTGGCCTGCCACTATTACTAGTTACTGCAACCTCTTCTGGCCTGCTACTATTATCATCTCCTGCCATCTCTGCTGGCCTGACACCAATACCAGCTCCTGCCATCTCTGCGGCCTTTAATCATTAGCAGCTGCTGTGGCCTCTGCTGGCCTGCTACTGCCATCAATACCTACTCCTTCCTCTATCCATTATTAGTTCCTGCCATCTTTGTTAGCCTGTCACAATTACCAGCTTTTGACACCTCTGTTTGCCTGCCACATTTACCAGCTCTTGCCACCTCTGCTGGACCACCATCATCAACTCCTACCATGTCTTTTGGCAGTCACTGCCACTATTACCAACTTCTGTCACCACTACTATTACTTTCCACCTCTGTTGGCCTGCCAGCCATACCAGCTGCTGCCAACCCTGCTGGAATGTCACTATTACCAGCTCCTGCCATCTGTTTTGGCCTTCCACCATTACCAGTTATTGCAACCACTGCTGGCCTGCCACCATTACTAACTCCTGCCATCTCTGCTGGTCTGACACCAATACCAGCTCCTGCCATCTCTCTGGCCTTCAATAATTTCTAGCTCCTGTGGTATCTGTTGGCCTTCTGTTGCCATCAATACCTACTCCTTCCTCTCTCCATTATTTAGCTCCTGCCATCTCTGTTGGCCTTCCACCACTACCAACTTTTGCCACCTCTCCTGGCCTGCCACCATTCCTAGTTCCTGCTGCCTCTATTGGCATTCCACCATTTCTGTAATTTCTTTTGGCCTACTACCACTACCAGCTACTGCCACTTCTGCTGGCATGGCACCCACCATTACCAGCTTCTGCCACCTCTGTTGGAATGCTACAATTACCCATTCCCATTGCCAACTCATGCCTCCTCTGCTGACCTGCTCTACCATTGCCACCATTACCAGCATTACTAGTTCCTGACACCTCTGCTGTTCTGACACCATTACCAGTTCCTGCCACCCCCACTGGCCTGCCATTGTCACCATCATTATCTGCACCTGCCACCTCTCCTGGCCTACCACTATTATCAATTTTTGTCACTTCTCCTGGACTGCCACTATTACCAGCTCCTGCGACCTTTTGGCCTGACACTATGACCTGTTCCTGCAACCAATGCTGGCTGACCACCATTACCAGCTACTGCATCCTCTACTGGACAGCCAACTTTACCTCTCTTAGCTTTTCTTGGCTTTATCCGCTGCTCCAATACTGTGCCACACATAATCTTTCCACATATGTAACCTTAGCTGGAAATGTGTAATGTTTGCTGCACAGTAAATCCTTCATTGCACCTGAATGTATGCAGTTCATTCCAGTGCTCAGGAGCTGTTAAAGTGTCTGACATAATGTTCCCGCAGATGGGCTCAGCTGCAACATTTCTAATGTTTGCTGCAGAGTAAATCATACTATGTGTCTCCTAGTTTGCACCTATTCTAGTGATCCAACACTCACAAATATTTGTGTCTATAGTCTCTCTAAAATAATACACTCTAATATTTATTTACAGATAAACCCTTCCTCAACCCTCCCTCTTAAACTGCGGCCTATTCAAGCTGTGTAACTAAAGTAAAAATAAATATATAAAGTGCAGCACTAAAAATAACACACAGAAAGTTTGATGTAAAAAATTTTATCTGAAAAGTTCGATCTAAAATTGGTAATCAAATGTTCATTAAATGATCAATGTAATAAATTGGACACAGCTATGAAGAATCCGAAACAAATGGCAGAAATGCGCACTCACCGACCGCGCATAGGAAATGAGCATATGTGTATTAAATTCCACAAAATGTCGATCTCCCTCAGGAAGGGGTGTTACCAAGCGATGGTCAGCTGGGCTCACAGAACCTCCTAAGGATCGGAATGGGTCGGCCGGATAAAAGGCTCCAGATAAAGTCTTCCCTCTTCTGGATAAAGTTGGAAGCTGTGTCTGCTGACCCCTCAATAAGGGGCAAAGAGTAGGAGAGTATCCATAGTGTAGTATTTGTTAGAGAACTTTATTGGTAACAGACTTAGTGCAGGGTGAATCAGTAATAGTGCTGGCAAGTGCCCAAACATAAATCCACATAGTAAAAAAAAAAACACAAACTACTGACCCTGAATGAGATGGCCGCCAGACCTCCTCGTGGTCTGGGCGACAATAAGGCGTCACAGGCTGTCAGTTCCTCCTGAGGCCTTTCGTGCTACGGCACATCATCAGAGGGGAGACTGACAGCTCTGTGACAGACGCCGAATCTTCAAATAGTGAAAAACGGGAGTCGCGCATGCGCACTGACTCGCCGCCATTTTCGGAGAGACCGGGCAACTGCGCATGCGAGCGCGGCTAAGCGCCATTTTGCCGTGGATATATTGAACTGTCAGCTGGAATGCATTACATAACGCTGGCAGAGCACACAGAACGGTGCATCTGAGCCAGATACAGTGGCTCTCAATCCCGGGGAAGGTGATTGATCTAAGAATCCTGCTTAACATCAGAAAGCCATTTCCTAAAAGATGCCGCACCAAAGTTGGTGACAAATAGGGGGGAATGAACTACTATACCCACGGCATAAAAAAGGTGCTCCGGATCCTAAATATATGGATTAATAAAAATAGAAAATATTATATTAAAACATTAAAGCTGTGTACCTACTGTTCAACATTTCTGATGATAAAAACTGATGATAAAAACTGCCTCTTTTCTCCATTTTACATTGCAGCCTAATCAAGCTGCAATACATACTCTCAGCAACTGTATACTCTTTGTAGCCTCCAAAAAACTACACTTGAATTATTATATAATGCAGCCTACTCAAGCTGCTTACATACTGTTCAGTGACTGTACAATATTTCTTGTTATTATCTCTGAAATAATGCACTGTAATATTTATTTCATGATTGTTTTAATTCAGCCACATTAGGGGGTTTTCGAACATGAATGGCCTGTTTAAAGTCATGCCACAACATCTCAATTGAATTTAAGTCCAGGCTTTGACTACGTCGCTCCAAAACTTTAAGTTTGTTTTTTTGAGCCATTCAGAGGTGGACTTGCTGGTGTGTTTCAGATCATTGACCTGCTTCATAAACTAAGTGTGCTTGAGGTCACAAACTGATAGCCAAACATTCTCCTTTAGGATTTTATGGTAGTAAGCAGAATTTATGGTTCCATCAATTATTGCAAGTTGTCCAGGTCCTGGAGTTGCAAAGCAGCCACAGATCATCACACTACAACCATGTGTGACTGTTGGTATGATGTTCTTTTTATGAAATGCTGTGTTCATTTTACATCAGATGTAATGGCATGCACACCTTCCAAAAAGTTTAACTTTTGTCTCATCAGTCCACAAAATATTTGTCCAAATGTCTTGGGATAATCAAGATATTTTGTCAAATGTGAGATGAGCCTTTGTGTTCTTTTTATTCAGCAGTGGCTTTCGCCTTGGAATTCCCCCACAGATTACATTTTTGTCCAGTCTCTTTCTTATTGTTGAATCATGAACACTGACCTTAACAGAGGAGAGTGAGGCCTGCAGTTCTTAAGATGTTGTTCGGGGTTCTTTTATGACCTCCTATGTGAGTTGTCGTTGTACTCTTGGAGTAATTTTGGTAAGTCAGCCACTACTAGGAAGGTTCACCACTGTTTCAATTTTTTTCCATTTGTGGATAATGGCTCTCACCATGGTTCACTGGAGCCTTAGAAATGGCTTTGTAACCCTTTCCAGACTGAAACATGTCAATGACTTTGTTTCTCATCTGTTATTGAATTTCTTTAGATTGCGGAATGATGTGTGTTGCTTTTTGAGATCTTTTAGTGCACTTCACTTTGTCAAACAGCTTCTATTTGATTTCTTGATTCAACCAGTCTGGCAGTAATCAGCCTGGATGTAGCAAGTAAAATTTAACTA